TGAATGATGAAAAGTGCGTCCATGTGTCGTTTGGAGGGGATTCAGCGAATGGCTTTGTTATGCATGTTAAAAAGGGACCAGAAAACATCATGAGGAGAGATGCCAAAAAGGATTTGGGCATCTGGGTCTCCTCAAACTCGTCCTTCGCACTACACCATGAAAAATCGGCCCAAAAGGCATTCGCCATTTTTCGGGTGATCCGACGCACTTTCTCCCGTATTACTCGCATGGACTTCCAAATACTCTATGGGGCCTACGTCAGACTGCCCCTGGAGTACGCCAACCAGGTTGTCTATTCAGAACGCACGAAGGACGCCACCCTCATTGAGCGTGTCCAGCCGCTACGAGAATGGTTGCCGGCCTCAAATCCGTTGACTAGGAAACACGTCTCGCAGTGCTTGATCTCTCTCCCCTAGAGTACCGTCGCCTCCGAGGGGACCTAATTCTTACTTATGTCCTGTTTGAACAAAGCTTGGCAAACAGGTTTTCACCGTTGAGCCAGCAAACACACCGCGCGGACATGGTAAGAAAATTTTCAAGCTCAGAGCACACACATTCATTAGACAAAATTTTTCCTCACTTCCGGTAGTAGGTGCGTGGAATGACCTTCCTCCGACGGTTGTCCACGCCCCATTTAGAACCCAGTTTAAAGCACTATTAGACATTTATTTAAGCGAATCCTCGCGCTGGCAGGCATACTGCCCCGCGCTGAGAATATAAAGAGAAATGCTACACACTTTTTCCACTTGTGCCTTTCTGGTGAACGACAGCCATTGACCGACAAGAAAAAAATCGACCCGGGAAACTTGCGCAAAAGCCCCGACCCTGTGCATCAATACGTGAATCCGTAGACTTTATTTGTGTGTCCTCGCGTTAGCAAGCTTGCTGCCCCGCGCTGAGAACATAAAAAGTAGTACTATGCTCTTTTTTCGCTTTTGCCTTTCAGGCGCAAAGAAGCCACAGAACGACAAAAACGAAAGTGACCGCGAACTTTGGGCGAAAGTTTGGGGGCCTCAGGCCGTAAATCCTTGAATCCAGTGGATTCGGCTGCCACAACTCCGTTCACCCAGGATAATTAATTAATAATTAATACTTCTCCTGTCCTTCATTTATCAAAATGGTTCCCGCTACATTGATAGGCAGTTGGACAATGCCAACTACCTCCGCGAGACACTGTAATCTTATTTTTCTATTAGGAACTGAACCAGATGAGTCAGTTTTGTTAGGGCAGTAAATTTTAGGTTGCTTGTACTCCTCAAGGTCGTTTGCGCTTGGAGGAGATTCCGCTGTTGGCCCATGATGTTGATTTCGGGGACCGGCTAGTATGATGGGGCTCGCATACCCAGGTAGGCTCACTCGGACTTGATGTTAATGTGATGTATTTAACCATTCAGCATGCTTTACATGCCGATTTCGGTCATGGTTTCTTTTCTGGGTATTAATCTTGGTGACCGATCTTGTCGTCCCTGATCAAATTTGACCGTTTTTGTAGCCTAAGCCACAAAACTGGTCACAACTATAAGTCGATTCGCAGTTGTTTTCGGGTTCCATAAAGACGCTCAGCGAAACAATCGCCGTAAATTAAGTACCCGGGAATATCGCCATTTAATAGTGGTAATTACGTACTTACCAAAATCGAAGGGCTGTGGCACCGCAGCCCCTCGATTTTGTTCTTGTGTCCTATGAGGAGTTCATGAATGGATCCATAGGATTTTAATTTCAAAAAACCAACCTTGGGTTGTTTCTGTGCACTACAGTAGTGTTTTCAAATGATCGTTCTAATTACACTCCGTATTGGCCCAAAATAAAATGTTTTCCACTGTGTTAACTCCGGCAACTTTCACGGTCTATATAGGCCCGCAATGCAAGTGTTGTCGATGCATTTCAGCGCTACCTGAAGCGCCGTCCATGGACGATTTGTAATTTCAGTCATATATAAGGCATTTATTGTGCGGGTATAGTGTGTATGGGAGGATAAAAACGAAAAATTCTTCGTGGGGATGTAGTAGCAGCTCCAACTAGTACTCCATATCGAAGTATAAAAAATCAGGTTACTTTCAGATTCCCTGCTATTTTTCTCAGTGGAACCAACTAATTCCATGGGCACTACCATTGATGCCTAAGGTGGCGGTAACCGTTGACTACGTAGTGCTTCAAACGCATGTGATAGTTTCTAAGATTTGGGGTCACCAATGAAGAGGTGGGTCAGGTCTGTCAATGTCCCTCCAGGTCGTAACTGTCAGGAAGGTCAGATTCCTGTAAATAACTCGAGACTGCCCGAAAACTTCTGCGACCCTAGAACTACTAGACCTCAATAGGGAAGCTGGCGGGCATCCAAGACGGTCAATCACTCAATCAATTCAGCAAAATCCGATGAGTGTTCAGGCACGCCACAGAAACAATGCCGACTATGATTAGTGCTCAGGCGTTTCATAGAAGTACGATCGATACTGATTTGTGTTCATCAAACACCGATCAAACAGTCTGGATCAATGGCAAAAGGTTCCCTTTAGATAGCATGAGGCCGTTGTAACTTTTGCACTCGCTTTCTTGCAATAAAGCCGTTATGTTATTTGTTCGTGAATCTTTTCGGCACAAAGACACTAGAGCGGGTATGGTAGCTAGGTGTAACACTTATGATAGACTAGGAGTAGTGGAAGTCCAGAAATAAAGCCCTGAGGAGCACTGATCCTGTGGGCTACATTGGTCGGGACTTCGCTTCACAGGGTGCAACCATGCCAGTAAGGTCAAAGAAGACCAGACAAACCAATAGCAGTCAAACCCTGTACTACGTGTAATCGTAGTACGAGGCGATCTGAAGGTAGAGTCGTACTGTCATCTGCGACAGGAGTGTAAAGGCAGTGTGGTGTTTCGCCCAGGCAACCAGGATGTCTCTACCTCTCGACTTCCCCTGTCCAGGCTTGGGCAACTTGGCAGTATCACAGCCCTCGTGCTTACTTCGGTTAGCATGGCAGTTAGGCACCGAAAGGATGTAACAGCTGAGCGATTTTTTAACCAGGATGTCGATATTTATGCAAGCGGCAATGCTGCCTGCCCACGAGGAAGGACGGGCTTGAGAAGACCGGCCTCATAAACTGCACAATCCAATCTTTCAGCCGTTGACAATGACCGCCGGCGCATTATCCAGTGCAGTCGGCTTACTTTTGAAACCGAAAAGTCTGTTGCTGCTAAAAAGGCACCCGCGATTCGCAGCCGCATACAAAGTGGGACAGATGCGCCTTACTTTCTGTGCCCCTTAGTTAGGCCACCCCCGTTCGGCCGAGCACACCAGACTTTTGAGACAGAGGCTCAAATTGGAGCACCTTAATCAAACCCTTTCCTCGGTTTGAACAACCAGAAAATATAATTTCCTCATACAGGTTTTGTCGACCAATGTCCCTCTCCAATATCTCCCACCACAAGCAAACGTTTCTGGGTCATTTGATTGCTAGTTATCTGACAGGCATGCCTTATGCACCCCGCCTCCTATTAACAATGAACAAAATAACACGTTGCTAAATCCATGAGATCTTCCAACGCCTGTACTCTGTCGAATTGGTAAACAGGCAACGCTCAGTATGACCCTATACTCCTTTAAAATTGATGCATGCTGTCTCTGAAACAGATACAATACCCAAGCATGGTCATGCATCTCAAAACGCTTAGGGTAAACTCAGCTCTTTCGCATTTTTCCATCCGTGTGTCCGGTGAGAGTTATACTCAACCCCAGAGCTGACCGTGCTTTTCTGGATTGTATCCCGGGGCACAGTCATCTTTGCGTCGTTTGTTTATTCAGCCCAGTCAAGCTCAATGCCTCAGCATAAAAACGGGGCCTGTTTGCAGTATCGGCATTTGCTCCAACAAACCACAGTCTGAGATCCTTGGGATCACATTTGGGCGGTTGATTGGGAGTCGGTGCTCATCGCACAGACAACGGAGAGTGACCCCTTCAGTTACGTGCTGATCAACACGAAATGAAAAAGGCAGCCCATTAATTTACTCGCAAAAACTTCGACTGCAAAGGGCATTTTAGCTGGCCTCATGCAGCAGCCTCTGGACATAGTGCATACGGGCGAACAGAATGCAACCTTTAACCGCTCGTCGGGAAAAAGAAATGAAGTACGAAATATCCATACTGAAAATTAAAGAAGCATCAGGGCCAGGTGGTTTATATCCACCCCTCTTCAAAGAAGGTGGAGAATCCATGGTGATCCATCTAACACAGCTCCTTAGTGTGATATGGAATGAACAGAAAGCGCCTGAATAATCGGGCATGTCGACAATTATTTCTACCTTCAAAAAAGATCATGTGAACGCTGTGTGAAAACCACTGTGGAATCAACCTGTTAGTTGTGGCATCGAACGTACTCTCTGGTCTTATCCTTTTAAGGCTGCCTGAACACGGAGCGACAGATCCATGAATATCAAGCTCTGCGAGGGGATGCATGGATCACATTTCCTTCCTCCGACTGATTCTGGAACAGCAACAGTGCTTCCAGCAATCATCAGTGGTTGTGTTTCTTGACTTGAAATCTGCCATCAGGCGCTATGGTAGTGTCTGTGGAGCAGAGATGTCCCCCATACATTCCTGACCCTCCGTAAGTCGCTGTACGCCAACTCCCGCGGGCACGTGAAGATCTGTTGGAAACGCCCGCCTGAGTTCACCACATCAAGTGCCGTCAGGAAAGGCTGTCCTCTTCCACTTTTCCTCTTCAACATTGTCATTGATACGATTACGATTGCTGAACCTAAATCCCTTTAAGCGACACCTTAGACTTGTTCGGAAGCATCATCATCGACAATAAACAACGTGCACTGGCGTGCAACCGCGAGAAAAGAATATCCTAGTAAAGAGTGGAAAAACAGGTCGGGGATGGGAAGTTAGTGCTGAAAATCCTAATGTTCTTATAAAAATGATCACACCTGGAATTAAACATCTGAACACTCATTTGCGAATCAATTTGGTCTTCACGAGAGACAACTGAATCTCTCGTTTGATATTCTACAACTGAATGTGCTGCACACAGGCCGCCTCATGATTCAGTTGACACGATATTCGAAACATCGCAGTATATTTTCATAAAGGAAACTACTCACAAGGTTACTGAATATCATAAACGAGAGATTGGGTTGAATCTCTCGTGAAAACCAACTTGATTTGCAAATGAGTATACTTCCCGAAAACAGTCCAATTAGGGTTCAAGTAGAACATAAGGTTGACGGAAACTTGGGGACTGCGCCTACGTAATGAGCCCCCAGAAGGACGAAACCGGTCGTCGGCTGTCGAAGAGTTTTCAGCAACCTTGTGAGTAGCTTCCTTTATGAAAACATATGAACACGTCGCAGTATGGTAATGTCAGCTGGAAAGACCCAGCACTCTGCGGACCTTACCTTACATAAATCCAACAAACTGGCTATGTACTTCAGACAATAAGCCAGTGGAATCGGCAAGGATGTTTCAACCACACGCATGGAGGATCACGCTGGCACTGGCCAGGCCGATGAGGAGATCCTACAGCTCTTAGTTTGATTGTAGCCGCCGCAACTTACCGTTGCTACATCATGATCTGTCTCTCGCGAACCTTTCACCAATGGTTGCTTGAGACGAAAAACAGGGCCTCTTTGGAATGCACAACACATGTTCCAGTCACATTGTTCTGCTAATTCGCGCACTTGACATCCTCAATTAAGTCAAGTAATGTCAACTTCCACCGTTGCCGCATCGAGTAGCACATGATTTTTCATCAGTAACTTCCTTGAGCGTGAGAAAACCTAGCGACTGAGTCCCGTCACCCGTTAAGCAGCATCATCTGGGTTAGGTAATCTACTTACTCCCTTACAAACTGGAATGTTGATAGCTTGTTACTTGACTGAGTCGTGTATTCTTGATTAGCCGAGTGTGCAAGAAGTAGTTGTCTCAGAATTCAGATACATTGACATTCAGTAATAACGATAAGTAACAATTAATTGTTCAGCTTTAACGCACTTTCTTTGCTTAGCTGCCGTGTCACCCGAAGGAGACATGAGGCCTGGGATACTTCTAGGTTCCCCATCCCAGATAAGAGCAGTTGAGATGCAGGGTTCGAGCTCTAACCATGGGTATTTCGCTTACTGAACCCTCTTGACGTCAAGTAAACCGAAATGCAGTAATGGGTGACTAACTGTGGAGCTACCCCAGTGTTTGGCCCTACGTTAAATCCACCGAATAAACCCACCTTTGAAAAGTATCTTTTGTTTGTCCAACTCCAGCTTGTACATATTTTGGCTAACTTTCCAATTTGAGGTGGATGGACGATGCCTAGTTTGTGGTCGAACAACCTGTTTAAGTAACCCTGACCGATGGCTGGTCTTGGTGGAACGGATGTTGTGATGATTCTAAAGGCCTTTTGAAAGTGACTAGTACAGAAGATGAAATCGCAACGATAGAAAGCGTTCAGCTGTAGCACCCTTTCGGTGCCTAGCTGCCATGCCACCCGAAAGAAGCACGAGGGCTGGGATACTGCCAGCTTGCCCAAGCCTAGACAGGGGAAGTCGAGTGGCGGAGGTCGGATTCGAACCACGGACCTTCCGGTTGGTAAATTCTCGCTCTAACTGCTTGGGCCATCTCGCCCCAGGCATCCAATATTTCGATTTCAAAACGCAGTTTCGTTGCTCCGTAAACTTATTCGCAATCACGCAATCAGGTCCTCGGCTCGCTAATTCATGATCTTGTCTTCTTTACGGTGATTGTTATGCAGGAGGAACACAACAGATCCCGAAACTGCAAGCACTATCTCCAGATTCAACTTAAAAATTCACTTCAAGGGTACTGATTGGGGTAGTGTCGTTAACTCTGGATGGGGTTACTGGCTAAGTTTTCCGAGATGGACCAAGTGGTTAGACCGCGAATTTACTGACCGGAAGGTCCGTGGTTCGAACCCGACCTCTGCCTCTCGACTTCCCCTGTCTAGGCTTGGGAGATCTGGCAGTATCCCAACCCTCGTGTCTCTTTCATGTGGCGTGGCAGCTAGGCACCGAAAGGGTGCTACAGCTGGAAGATTTCTTTTCTCGAATCTGGTGCTTCTGTAGACCTGCGGGACTAAGATCAACCGTACCAGACGTTATATTCAAAGTGTATCAGATAAGGGTGCATTCGAACAATGAAATTCCAAATTGGTACTCAGTCATTAAGGTGCCGTTCAAACCATAGAAGGCAATAGGAATGGAGTGATGTCTGGTTGCTCACCTCCAGATAGGACTAGATAGGTTGGACTTAATTCACGGATTTTTGGACAGCCAGCATGGTTAAAAGGAACTAGCGATCAACCTCTTTCCGTTTTCACTGGTGATGCAATTACGACCGTTTCATCTCTCTTAGGTCAGTGTAACATTCCAGAATTGGTGCTATACTTTACTATACATTCGGTTGACTGAGCATTGTGTTGACAGTCGTTTCAATGCCTATCACGATGCTATTCGTTGTCCCTACTTATCCACATTTTAGAATTTCTGAGCCACATACCTATCCGTTAGGATGCCAGTAACAGGGATTGAGTCTATACTATGCAAAGACTTTTCTCATTTCGAGCCCGTACTCTTCCACAACAACCCAGTCGTCGTGGATGGAGGGGATTTCGCAGAATTTTTCACTCGAGGTCCATTACTTTCGAATGTATGGGGAGGTGAATATTTGTCACTTGCTGTCTCACTGACGAAGCAACTTGAAGACCTACGAAACTGCGCTATCGATCCGTTATTTATCTTCAGTGCAGGAACTGAAAGAAAGGTGAGTCTCCAACCGATGAGTTTGGGTATCCGTTCAATAAGATAAGTGACTACAATCTGTTTTGTGTCGTTTTGCAGACTGGGACTATTCTAACGTGTGACTAATGAATATCTTCAACTGGATGTGTAGCGTAACAGGTGCCTCAGAGTTTAGTTAGTCTGATATTCAAAACATCAAGGTTTTTCTCGATGCCTGTTATGCGCTCCGGCAGGGAGGGAGTTGCGTGCAAGCATCGCTTAGTGTGTATTTCCAGCCCATATGGTAAAAATTGCTTTTCATCACTGAAGCAAACCTAGTGCAACTAGTTGTATCTTGGGCCATTGTGGATATTGACAGATGTATGGGTTTTAACTCTTGAGCGCCACTTGTTCTTTGGGGCTAATTATTCAGCTTTTGAAACCTATAATGCTTCCATAAAAATCCATTTTCCAATATTCAACGTAGTGCATGATATTTTTCTCAGTGGAATATACGGTAGCACCCCATTGATCCCTACAATCTTCTGGGGATATCCCTCATGGTTGTCAACACTATACGACTACGGCGCGATTACACTAACAGTTGTCAGTTTTTTCTCGATCTGTTAGACACATTGACAAACATGGCCCAGTTGCACCCCCAATGGCGCCCGTGCATCCAAGCTATTGCCTTCAGTGCATACCTCCCTTCCCAACACTGACATTCCTGTATTTACGCACCAACCACCAATTTATCAGCTCCCGCTTACAATGCACAGCTACCTACCCCACCCTGTAACAGCTGTACGACAAGTATGTGGTTCCTACCGCTGATAATGGTTGTGATTTCTCATTTGCAAACTAATTTGGTTCTTTCGAGAGACTCACCTGGAACCCAGCTGAGTGCATATTCGCTAATTTCGTGCAGCACATTCAGTTGCCTGAGAACATCATAAACGAGAGATTCAGCTGGGTTCCAGGTGAGTCTCTCGAAAGAACCAAATTAGTTTGCAAATGAGTGTATATTCG